CAGAGACGTTACCACTGAGCTATTCAGGCTCGCGACTGACCTCCTGTAGGACTGTGTTGGATATTTTTGATTGAACACTAGTAACTAGTGTAATGTGTCTAGTCCTATCTTCGGTGCAGACTGAATTCTATCAGTCATGTTTGCAATGTGGCCACCATGCTAGGTGGCTCGCAGTTCACAGTGCAATTCACAGTGCACCGCAATGGCGAGCCACCTAGCATGGTGGCCACATTGCAAACATGACTGATAGAATTCAGTCTGCACCGAAGATAGGACTAGACACATTACACTAGTTACTAGTGTTCAATCAAAAATATCCAACACAGTCCTACAGGAGGTCAGTCGCGAGCCTGACTATCTCAGTGGTAACGTCTCTGACTGCAGCACTGGGTGACGCGGGTTCGAATCTCAGAAGGGACATCAGTTCCTTCAAGGTTGCAGATACGCCTTGCTGATGAGTGCCAACTAGCACGAAACCTAGGTCCAAGGCTTCCTGCCGATTGCCTCCAACCATCTAATACCTGAAATTACAGTGGTGATACACGAAATGACAATTTTTGAATAGTATTAGAGAAAACATTTTCAAATCAACCCATGTAAAATATAAGTATTACAATGTTTAGTTTAGGTTATCAGTGTCCAGTCAAAATTGATGTATGTTACTATCATTATTTATAACCACTGAAACTTCAGCTAGTGGTGTGTAGCTGATGAGAACCTGTGAAACAGAATGATGATATCACTTGATACTGTAAATCTGGTCTTTCTTTCTTTATAGATACGTTTAAATTAGGGACCACTGGAATACCAAAGACAAATAATAAGATTACAGGATTTTCATCATGAGGTGACGTTAGTTAGAGAACCATTGGAAAACCAGTTGGGAGTACTGGACAGCTGTTTCGTCCTAGTTTAGGACTCTTCATCAGTACGCACCCACCGGGGTTCGAACCCAGGACCTTATGGTTACAAAGCGAGCTCGTATACCATTAAGCCACTGGGACCCGATCCAATGGACAGTATGTGAATTCGAACTTCTACCAATTCACGACATAGCGCGACCCCTGGCCAATGTCTTCGGCGAGTATTTGTCCTCACACCCGACCAGCTGCACCTTACTGGTCACGACTTCTCACTAGAACCCCAGGTAACTACCTACCTGAATAGGGCAAGTCGCTAGTGAGCATCTCGTTGATATTCAGGTGTTGGTTTGTCGGGATTTGATTGGTTACAGGATTTTCATCATGAGCTGACATTAGTCGAATCACGGTGGGTGTGTACTGATGAAGAGTCCCAAACTAGGATGAAACAGCTGTCCAGTACTCCCAGGTTTTCCAATGGTTCTCTAACTAATCTCAGCTCATGATGAAAATCCTGTAACCAATCAAATCCCTACAAACCAACACTTGAATACAAATAATAAGAGTTCAGCAAAAAAAGAGATATGCAAACATTAGAATGATGATTGATATACAGGTCACGATAAAAGCGTTGTAACTACAAATTTATTTGAAATATCCGTGAAAGGATTTTCAGATGGATTATACTGCTACACCTATTCCGAATGGATACTTGGCTTAAAATGGCTAACAAACTGTTTGACTGACGTGGAAGTAGGAGTAATATTAACTGTTTTTGCGGTTACTGTAAAGGACGAAGTGGTCCATCTCATCTTCATTTCAGTGTGATTATTTTAACCTTCCACTTAAATTGATCTTGTGATTATAAAGGCCAGAATTTCATTCCTCGATATTGTTTGTCTGTTCTGTATTTATAAGTAAATTTTTTATCCTGAACAGCAATGGAATAACGTACAGTCACTAATAAGTTGTAAAGTCTGCTTCATGCTTTGAAATAAAATCTAAAGTTTTCAGTCAGTTGAGAGAAGACCATCCACATGGAACCCTACGTCTAGGTATTAGGCTTACTGATTCTGTTCATATTATACAAATAGTTGGTGCATCATTTGAAATCAATTAAAATTTGTAAACACAAAGCTTACTTCAGCCAACACACTTAAAACAATGATAACGCGTTGTTGATTACTCTTCGATAACAATAAATGTAAAAACGGAATTGGATCACTGTTACAGAGTATAATTCCACAATTTAAAAAAAACTGTATTTGATGAGGCACACAGTAATACAGTTTTATTTATACACTGATAACGTTCTACGCACAGTTTATGGTTCATGGTTAAGATATGATATGATAATGATAATTAACGCGAAAAATACTCAGCTGGACAGCATTATATAACTTCCATTGTCATCACACTAACCCTTCAATAACTAATACAATAGTATTCCATCACAGAATAGTTTTGTGTGGATAAAGTACACAGTGATACAGGATTATTTATTTACTGATGACGTTTTGAGCACAATTTACTACTCATAGTCTAAGTGTCTTGTTCATGAGCAATATATTGCACTCAAAACATTACAAGTAAATAAAAAATATTGTAACACTGTGTGTTTTATTAAATAAATTTATTCTGTTATTGAAAAAAACTGTTGTGTTTATGAAATTATTTTTGAAGACGAAACCTTCAAAATGTGCTGTATTCAGTGTTTTACATAAAATTATTCTGTTGATGGCGCAGCGGTAGAATGCTCTCCAGTTACATCTATGTTCTGCGGTTCGATTCCCGGCCACAGACGCACTGCTTCACCTCGTTAAGCCAGTAGTAAGACTGGTAAAGAGGGAAGGTTTGGCATGAGGCTAGAAACCCTATCCTATAAAAATAAACATTCCTGCTATCGCCTGAAGCCCTATGTTCCACTAGGAACATGAAGGAATAAAGAAAATGAAGTCTCAAATTACAAAAGTATATACGACAACGCGGAAACGCGTTTAACTCTCAGTACATGCAAGAAATTTACCTGCTGCCTTGACTTTCTAAAAACATCTGTTAGAAATATCACTTTTCTTTGATTAGAACACAGAGACAATCAGAAAAATTCCTTCTGTAAAACAGACTGCTCATTAAATAGTTTTAAAACATTTGAGCATCGGGCATATGGTTTGTGTTTCCTGATGAATGAAAGACAAGATGGCGTTTTGCTATTTAATAGTGCTTCTAATAGCTTTATCAAAGTAATACTAAACCAGAGCTTACAAAATCTCAGCTCATATACAATAACTTGATAATAGTTCTTCAGTATTAAAGTAAATTTTACGTTAAAATAAGAAAGCATACCTAGATTGTTGGATTTGGTAAATATGTGAGTTTATAGAAAACATTCTGTGTGTGTTTACATAATGGAAGTGCTTATGATAATTGTGTCGATGAGGGTGGGTAGGTTGGAGATGGGAAGGGTGCTGGAACCAGGTCAGCTTGTGCCTTAATCCATCATTTCTATTCAGACAATTTGAATTCCACTTAGTATGAAATTATTCTAGTGTGAGACGTTTTTTGTAACTTTTGAAATTTCTCTGGAAGATTTCAATATGAGTAATCACTGTAGTAAAGTTGGTCAGAATATTCAAGTAGTTATAGTGATAAAATGATATTGAAAATGATTGGTACCTGATTCTCTGACAGATTGACTGACTAGCTGGCTGGTTTCAACATAGAAATTTGCACAGAAGTGAAGCAATTCGAGTTTCCACACTTCATGTAGCATACAATGGACAGAGAAGATCAGCAACAAGGATCTCTGGGAACGAACTCAACCAGGAACCGATTGTACAAAACGTTTGAAGGAAGAAATAGAGGTTGATTGGCCATACTCTGAGAAAACAAACCATCATCAAGTGACATCACAAGCTCTCGAGTGGGACCCGAATGGGAAGCGGCGAGTCGGTCGTCAGTGTGAGGGTGATATGAGGGAGGTCATGCGAAGAGGAGGTGATAGAATGTGAGCATATGTATAGCCAGGTGAAAACTTTGGCAGAGAACGGAACGCAGTGGAGACATGCGGATGAAGCCCTTCGTTACTCTAGTAACTAAATGAAACAATAATATAATAATAATGTAACACACGAGGATAAACAAAAGAGAGAAAAAGCGATTCAAAACGACTATAAAAAGTGAAAATGTACGACAGAAAGAGCAGTAATATGGAAGTTCATAATGGTTCAGAGCATATTTTTTATTCCTTCATGTTCCTAGTGGAACATAGGGCTTCAAGAGAGAATATTGAAGTTTCGGTATCAGTGATGTTTATTTTTACAGGATGGGGTTGCTAGCCTCATGCCCGACCTTTCCTCTTTACCAGCTTTTTTATTATTACTGGCTTAGCGAGTTTTAGGAGTGCGTCGGCCGGCGATTGAACCCTGGACTATGTACATGGTCGGTGATCGTCCTAACCGCTGTGCCACCGGCGCACAGAGCATATGGTTAATCATAAAGAGTGAATTCATCTGCTCTACTGAGAAAGATTTCGAGCCATATCTGCTGTTGTCGCCAACCGCCATTGGTTCTTAGAATGCCAAGGAACTAAAATACAGTCAGTCTTTACCTCCCTATGTGTCTCAGACTGACTGTCACAGATTCCATGCACTGATTCCAGGTTTTAGTTTGACCACCACTAGCTCTTTTCCTACCTAATCCTATGTCACCTAACATTTCCCGCTGAGGAACGATTTGGCTACATATACGTAACACCTATACTAGCCATTTTATTTAATATAGCTTCACAACGTTATCGATTGCCTTTGTCTCTGTACCCAACGCTTGGCGCCTAATCTACATACATGGTTCTCTGGATAGTGTTAAACTCAAATGAGAATAATTTGGAAGATAGGTTGCATAATGACCATATAAAGCCAATGTTCTAATAAGACATAGTTGTATAATGTTAGATCCCTTCACTTGGTACTAATAAGAGTGGGTGGAAATACTCAACTGACCAACAGTGCGTAACTTTTATTGTCTATATTATTACGGTGTGATTTTTTCCGTTATATCATGTTGATGTTCTGAATGCACTTTTTGAAATAAAATATATGTTAAATCCCCTTTTTATTCATTTTTTCCGTCCTAAATCATCAGGTTCTTTCGACGACAAGACAACCAATCAGATCCCCGCAGTTATAAGAGCATCTGAAAGTAGAGCTCCTTCCGGATCTCAAGTAAGTCTTTTCACTATTAAAAATTATACAATTATAATAATTTGTAATTAAACTATCGCAAATTTTTGATTATGGTTGAGTTCACAGCAAAAAAAATTTTCCCTAAGTGTCCAGTTCATCTCTGTAATCACAAAGTCAAAGTCTACAGTTGCCTAATGACCCGTCTCTGTGATGTGCTTCGACATGGATGATATTTGACATCTTCTTCCTGTCAGATAACAACTATTCCTTGAAATCCATTAAGCGTTGCAGAAGTATCAAAAAAAGGCTCCACCGATCCAACCAGCCCCCAGAAAGATGTTTATGCATGCTTGCCATTCAAGGGTGATTAACAAAGTCTGATCACTAACCAAAGGCTTAAGGCGGCAAAGAACAGAACTTACTATGCAGCCAAACTTATTTTCATAGAGAAAACGAGATCTATGTTGCCCTGTAAACACTCACAGCATCCTAGCGATAGTGTCATAACCCACTGTTTTTTACCAGTTTACATTTATGTGTTGCCACACGTACACAATAGGATTCACAAGGTTGATTTCAATGGTGCCTTCAAAACCAAATATAAAATAAGTTTGGGTGGTATACTTCAATTCGTTAAAGCCCTGGCTATAAAAAGGTCTTATGTGTTCAAAAAGTGCTTGTCGTTAGTTTTAAACCCGCCTTAGTACTCCGCTTTAGAACGAAGGTTCAATTTACTTAATAATATTCTCGCCCTCTTCGTTACTTTTTCTCACCCCATATTGTTATGTCACCTTCCTACCTCTTATTTATAACTTTCACACGCCCACAATTTAACCTGTACTGTATCGCCCTCTATATGAATATGTATGACAAGTACGTGTGTGATCAGAATGTCCAAAATGTGTTGCGTAAATACACCACATTACACGACTTAGATAAACTACGTCTTCTTATTGTTTTAAAGAAAATGTGATTCATTGCCTGAGAACACTTAATTCGCAGTAACATTAAGTACAGTTCCCCAATTACAAAAACCATAATCGTCATTCACTTTGCTATTTTAGCATTGTAGTACACAGTAAAATGTATAGAAGTATGGGTTCCATATGCAATCAATACTTTTGGTAGTAATTTCGGGAATTTATCAACACCATGACATCACTTTTATTGTCAAGCTGTACGACAGTTAGTCAAGCTACCTTGAAGAGTATGCATGTGATATAGAGAGGCAATAGTGGCAAAGCTTCGAAAATAGTTAGTCGCAAGGGCAACTAGGAGGTTACCTAAGGTCACGGAGAACTTAAAATTAGCAATACCATGCTGTATGAGACTGATTTTCGGGAAAAAACGTAGCCTAGTGATGCCTTGGTTCCATTGCGACACAATGAGTAACACCTAGTCTACCTAGTTTTAATTATTCTTCTAAATTTCATGACGACTCCGATTATAAAACATTAGCCAAAGAGGTTTTAGAAAACAAGAACCAATATGGAACCTAGTCTCACAGCCTTTGGTAGTAAGAACCAATTAATTAATTTCAGCCTTTCGTCAAGACCATTGGTTTATAAGAACGGCACGACTCGACTACTTGGTTGAACTGTAACCCGGAATGATTTTCATTTTTGTTATTTTGTCACAGGAAAAAATAACTTACTTTGTCACCAGCGGATGACTATCTTCACAATGGAAAATGTGGGTTAAATTAGAAAACTGATTTCGAAACTGGTCACTAATGTTTGGTAGATAAAGGTTCTATTCGAAATGACCTAACGTAAACATAACACAACAATTCTGAACATTGTTTTTATAATGTTTCCAAATTTTCTGAAGAGTACATCGCAGGATTTTTTTCTTCGTCGTCCCGGATTTTCAAATAAAAGATTAACTGACAACAGATCATGTGACACAGTTCAATCCAACCTGAAGCGCAAACCCCAATCCTTTATGATATCTCTTCTTTTTCACCTTCGAGAAATAAACGACATTTTGTTGAATGTCAATTATAGAAAGTCCAAGAGTACATTTTGTGGACAATGGACACCATTCAGGAACGGTCATCTCATGTACTGGGATAATCTGCCACCCAAGATTATACTTCTTCTCATGTTTAGTAGAAAATTGAAAATCACCAGGCTGCAAATGTTTTAAATAATCGCCACAGAAAAAAATACCACTAGAAGTCATATTTTACTAGATTTAAACAAACTAAATAAGAGGAATTATATTTAATATACTGGTGAAGGTTTTCGGTAGCCAAAATTTTAGGCAAGCTACCAATCTAGGAATTAGTCCACTTTCTCTCCACTTAATCACATTAATTTTAAGAACTGTAACTCTGTCTCACCCTATCGTGTGACTGCATTCTAGTGCGTTCATTGCGATTACTGAGTTTTTTCTATGAACTATTCATCCTCATAAAGTTGATCATTCTACACATAGCTAGATTTCTTTATTCCAATAACCTCACTAATCCCCGTCCGACTTAATGTAGTCCACTTCAGAACTATTGGAAGGCTATTTAATTTGAATTAATCAACAGGACCCTATAACATCCCTGGGTGAGTTTTAGCTTTATAGGCTACTTTAATTTCAGCTTTACTTAGATGCCCTTCCTTCCTATTCTGCCAGGGTTAATGTTTTCAGTACTGTTCCTTCTTTTATTAAAAGTTTTCTGGGATTTCTCAATGAATTATGTAGGAATTGTTATTTTGGTATACTCTGTCACAGAGCTTGAATATTATCCTAAATAAGAGCTATTGAATCTTTAAATTTACTTAATCGCTATTCTGTCCTAATGCTTTAAAGACAGCCTTTTGGAAAACGAAATGTTGATGGATACACCTAATGTATATTTCCTGCTTTTTATTGAGAAATTTGATGAAAGGCATCCATGACTATTGAGTGTCTGATAGTAAATGAATGAATGTCCATATTTAGTTCATTGGTTTATATTATTCTTCCTTCTGAATATTTAGTCACTGAGATTTATCCTTTCTTAGACAACTTATTCTGCGTTTTCATTATCAATAGAATACTCTATACATATAGTACATATAATATTTATAATACATACTGATATTCTCAGAAGTTAATTGGTGGATGGTGATTGGCAGTGGAATCTAGGATGCGCATTTCGTCCTATTTGGGGCTCGTCACTGGATATACCTGCATTCTGCAGTGAGTGATGATGTTCCCACCGAGTCTCAAACTCTGTGACCATAGTTTCAAACTCCTAAGCGTTATCCACTAGACCACTTGGGCCACGAGAGCCACCTCTTGTGCAACGGGTCATATTAATTATTTAACTGAATTTTAAATTTTCCCGTCGATTGATTGAACCGAAGTGCTCGGTCTCAGGTTGACATGTCGTCTCCTTGTGCAGATGCTTCGACGATGTCTGGGCATGCAATTATAATTCAATTGGTGGATGGTAACTAGCAGTGGAATGCAGGATGCGCAGGTACATCCAGATGATGAGTCCCCAAATAGGACGAAGTACCCACCCTGGATTCCACTGGTAGTTACCATCCACCAATTAACTTTTAATTACATACCCAGATATCATCGAAGCATCTGCACAGGTGACCGAGCACTTCGGTCCAGTCAATCGACGGGAAAATGTGCGTTGGCAGCACAGTGGTTAGGACTCTCGCCGACCATGCACATGGTCCGGGGTTCGCTCCCCTGCCGACGCACACCTGATTTCTATGATTGGCCTGCCAAATTTGGGCCACTGATGTCATACACTGAAAATTACATACTTGTACCAAAAATACTGTGTGGTTTCAAGCTATAATGAAAAAAATCAAATATACTCAGATTAATAAATTATGAATGAAAACAACGAAGCGAAGTAGTTCAATGAAAAGGTGATGATTAATCAAACTGCAACTGGGAGGGTAGGGTGAAGGTTGATAAGTACTGGCAGGGGTTACATATTGTAGAAGATACCCAGAAAATGTGATGCTAATGAAAGAGCTTGAGAACGAGTGCCCAAAATAACTTATGTAATAGGCCGAAGGAAAAATAATCCAGGGTACAGCATGAGATTATTTTTGAAATTATGAATAAAGTTAGGTAAATTCACAGCGTCATATTCATGGCGCTAACCATTAATAATACACTCCTCGTTTGATAATTAATTACTTCTGACAAATATTCAGTAACCTAGAAAATTTATTCACCATGTCTAAGAAAATTAGTAAACATTAGTGTCATATAAACCACCCCTTACACTCTAAGCTTACTAAAAACAACCGCGAAACACGATAAACCTCACATATCTACCGATTGACCAACACTTTTAGAAATACAAGGATGTTAACAAACCATTATTTCCAGCTATACTTCGTGACTTATTAGGTAGCACACGAATGTGGTTCGATGTTTGATCCGCGGCCACAGATGCACTCCTTTACGTCGTTAAGCCAATAATAAGACTGTTAAAGAGGGGAGGTTGAAAACGAGGTTAGCGACCCTGTCCCGTAAAAGTAAACACCACTGCTACCGAAATTGCGAAGCTCCAGCTTGAAGCCCAATGTTCCACTGGAAACGCAAAGGAATAAAATAAATAATAAAAATATAAAATACTTCGTGACATAATAAGAGAATATGAGCGGGAAAGTGCTTGACAATCCAGCTTATTCAAAGCGTTTACAAGAAAAATTGATAGCTAAATAATGGAACTATTCAAACGAACTTCAATGGATTACCACTCCTTCAAGAGCCATTTTCACCTTAACAATAAACTCCAATCAAGACTTTCAACCTTTTTATCCACCGATTACAAATTAGGTGTATCATTTAGACTGGACGTAATAACCATTTTCAAATTCACCTCCTAAATAAAAACATTTAAAACAAACAGACCTAAAATATTCCTTATTCCACTATATTATTCATGAATTGATTATTGATCAGAAGGCGGAAAATTTAATTCTCTAAACACTTTCATTCACAGCATTTCTTTAGACCAGTTATAACCGCAAGAGAAGTAGACTATGTAAGAGACATTAAATTAGAAAAAGCATGATTACTTT